CTCATTGCAGCTGTTGGCCAGCGGGGTGGGGCCGCAGGGCTGGCAGGGCCGGCACGGGGTGTAGCAGGACATGTCTTGGGGCTGCAGGTGCACCTGACAGAGAGGGAACGGGGAAGCAGAGCAGGAGATGGGTGAGGTTCAGCGTGTCACCCCAACATGACAGGGCAAAGGCATGAACTAGAAATGAGAGCTGAAGGCTCTTTGTGGAGGCACATGGGCTCTTCCCCTCAGAACAACCCCAGCAAGAACCCAAACCCAGGGATGGCCCCAACCAGCCCAAAGCTGGGGCAATACTTCTGCCAAGACCCAGATTCACACAATCCCCACTCCTTTCCCTCTCTCACAAGAGGCATCTCCAAAACCCTGCAARTCACAGATACGTGCTGAGAAATCCSAGAGGAGAAAATGGAGAATGTGCCTCAAACTCACCTTGCTCCAAGGAGATGGAGGTGAGTGGAGTGAATGTGAGAGTGGGGAGMAGAGCCTGCTTTTATACAGCTCTTGCATTGCCCCAGGCCCAGAGTCACTGCACAAGGGCAGTAATTTTCTAACAGACTCATCTTCAAAGGAAAATATCCCACATAGTGGTAACGATTCACGTTTTCTTTCCATCTACGCTGCCATTTCATTTCCTCATTTCTGACATTCCTGCCCCGCATTGCAGGATCCTTTCATGTTCTGTGATGAGAAGCCAAAGGATATCCCAGGCAGAGTCATGTCAGTGGGGGCACATGACCCAAGTGCTGGAAGGGTCCCATGCAGGCATGGGATGCTGACTTGGGGCAATGAAAAGTGACACTTTGCAATATCCTTTGCAGGAAGGGGCCAGGTCTGTCCTGCACCGCATACATCAGAGAGCATCCAAATATTCTGCTTTTTATGGATATTTTACTTGCTTCTCTTCTCTCTCTCTCTCTGCTGTCTGCCAGTTTCACGAGATGCAGCATCTCCAGGCAGCCAGCTAGTGCCAATGTTTCAGCTCTGTTATTTTGATGCCCTTTGCTCTGGAGGCCATCTTTACCAGGGTTAGGAAAGCCAAAGCCCAGCTGGAGTTGAATCAGGMAAAGCATATGGAGGGGCAATAAGAAGATCTTCTCCAGGTAGGTAATCAGTAAAGGGAGTTTTGGCCAAAAGCAGCCTCAGTATTCAACAAGGCAGCTTCCCTGAGGATTCCTCCTTCCTGGGGATACAGGAAAGATGGACATCCTCGGAGGTTCTGGCCCTTGGTCTTTACCATCAGGGATTGCTGTCAGGAATTGAAGCTTCTGATGTTGAAAACAATATAGCTTTTAAAATTTTATTTTATTTCTCTAGTCAGGCTTGGTTTGCCTTTGCCTTGGGGAAAGGAGTTTTTTTTTTTTAAGTATTTTTAGGAGATGTAGCACCACTCTACGGAGATGAGCCTAACATTTCAACAGACTAAGAGTAGGGCCCTGGATGCAAAATGAGTTTTCAAACTACACTATGAACTGATGCCCTTCCCTGCCCTACAGACATGGAGGCAGCTGGGACRCGTCCCAGGAGGGCAAGGGAATGCCTTCAGTAGGCAAATTTCCAAAGGGAGACTCTCCTAACCCATGGCGAGTCACGTTCTAATTCTGGTGTGAGGCCAAGCCAGGAGTGTGTGGTGTCTGCAAGCTTTGTCCCAGGCAGGGCTGAATTCCTCTCCAGCAAGGACAGCTCCATCCATAAGCCTGGAAAACCATCTTCAAGCACTGGGCTGTGTTTGGACCCAAAGCTCCAAGCAGCCCAAAGGCCATTKCCCCAAGCCTGACTTGCCTGGCAGCACTGCCACAACTCAGGGGTGCTCTCAGAATTGACAATGTGTGRCAGGACTTTGTGTGTCCTCCAGGTCAGGGKKCAAGGAGTGCAGCCAAAGYGCATCATGGGGTGAAGAAAGGGGGAAGAGAAGGTGCTGTCCCAAGTGCCAACACATCCCTCAGGCAATGAGGAAGTACAGAACTCTGCTTGAGTCAACAYGAGGGTTGATTCCTGCCCGCACTGATGTGTTCCTGCACAAGAAATCCTTGGACTTCTCATCCCACAACATGACAGACGCCTCCATGACTTAGCGGGAATGTCAGAAACGAGGAAATGAAATGGCAGCATAGATGGAAACCAAACCACAACCTGTGCCATTGGGTAGAATGTTTTGCTTTGAGGTGACTCTGCAGGAAAATTACTGTCCTTGTGCAGTGAGTGTGGGCCTGGGGCAGTGCAGGAGACGTATAAAAATGGGCCCTTCTCCTCACTCTCTCATCCACTCCTCTCGCCTCCATCTCCCTGAGAACAAGGTGAGTCTGAAGCTTTTTCTCATTCTTCTCCTCCTCCCATGGGATTTCTCAGTCCATACATGCTTTTTCTGTCCCAGATGGATTCTTGCCRTGGGAATAGGAAGGGGGTAGAAGTTGTGACATGGGATAAAGACTGGGGCTTGTCTGAGGTGTTTCCAGAACTAWGGGCCAGACAGGAATCTTGCTTGGTAGCTCTTGGTAGGGCTCCTCAACAGAAAAGGAGGAGCCTGTGGGTTTCTCTATACAGCCCACAGGGATGGTCTCCTCTTCATGCCTTTGGTCTCTCATTGTGGAGTGATACGGCTGATCCTTACCCACTCCTTGTGCTCTGCTTCCTCCCTCCGTCTCTGTAGGTGCACCTGCAGCCCCAAGACATGTCCTGCTACACCCCGTGCCTGCCCTGCCAGCCCTGTGGCCCCACCCCGCTGGCCAACAGCTGCAATGAGCCCTGTGTCCGACAGTGCCAGGACTCCACCGTGGCCATCCAGCCCTCGCCCGTGGTGGTGACCCTGCCCGGCCCCATCCTCAGCTCCTTCCCTCAGAACACCGTGGTGGGATCCTCCACCTCGGCTGCTGTTGGCAGCATCCTCAGCTCTCAGGGAGTGCCCATCAACTCTGGGGGCTTTGGCCTCTCTGGCCTGGGCAGTGGCCTCTGTGGCACGAGGTCCTTCCCCTGCTAAAGCTGCTGGTGATGGCCCTGGGGAAGGGTACCAGGGACACCCAGGATGGAGCCACCCTGGGCTTGCTTCTTCCCGAGGGGCTGAGCACCCCCAGCAGTCCTGGCAGAAGGACAGGGCCAGCCTGGGCTCTTGGGAAGCACAGCCCATCCCTGCCTCTGCCCTCTTCCGCTCTCTCCTTTCCCTCCTGTGTCCCTGTTCCCTTGTGCTCCCCTGGGCTGTGATCCCCACTCAGCCAGCCTGGGGAGGAACTGCTGGCCCTGCTCCCTCTCTGGATCCGGCAGATGGACACCTGGTGGGATCTCTGCCACAGCCATGTGATGGAGATTTTTGGATGACCCTGGTGCTGTTTGCACTGGATCACTCTCATGGATTGACCTGTTTATCTCTTTTGACGCATTAAAGTTCTTTTGCATCCTAGCCCATGCCTCTGTGTCATCCTTTCCCCTACAGACATSWTCCCAAGATGGCCAAGTRGAGCAGTGTGGACCAGGGGTGGTTCTGGGAGGGTGATTTGGGGATGTTTGTGCAGTGATTGTTAACACAATTATAGTTAACTCTCCATGCAGGGTCCCTGCCTCTGCAGACATTCCAGACACACACAGTCAGGAGGAAGGGTTAGGAGTGCACATGGRGAGCCTTCATTATTCCCATAGGGAAAGGCAGAAGAGAGCACTGAGCCCTTTTCAGCTTTTGCAAATGAGAAAAAMCACTGAAAATCATGTCTGCAGGGAGACAATCCTTTGACAGATTTAGTGCATCTTAGGCTTCTGGAAACAGTTTTTTACATATTTTTGCAGACAGGACAGGAAGAGGCAAACTTCTGTGATTGAAAATGTCTGCTGTTAGCATTTCCACACAAGAGAAGACCACATTGTTCTCCTGATATATACTTATGACTCTGTAAACACACTATCTCCTGTACCTTAAGATAATCCTGCTCTTGCTGCTACTAGAGAGCACTGGTAAGTCTTTATTCATATGATGGAATTAAGTAAGACAAATTCCTGATTATTGGCAGGAAAACTTGTCCTGTAACTCTTAACTAGAACAGCGAGAAACCTTCTGGTGTATCTTCTTCCCCTAAAGGAAATCAGGGGATTGAACATCATTGCCTTTTGCTCACATATCTACAAGACTCCTCGTTTGAAGTCAGTTCCAAAAGAGGGTGGTTGCTCTGAGGACAGGGAGCTGTGTGTATTGACCAGGGAGAAGAAACAACTGAAGCACCAGAGGTCTTATGAGGAGAAGCTGAGGGGAACTCACCGTAGAGAAAAGGAGGCTCGGGAAGGACCTTGTCACTCTCCACAGCTCAGTAGAACTCTCAGTTCATAGCCAGCGCCTGAGCATGCAGCAGGCCCAGTCAAAAACAACATAACAATGAGCCTAAATCTGGCTCRTTCTACGTAAATTAACTTATTTTGGCCGAGCAGCCGACATCCCCAACACCTCAGGGCGGTTTGAGGGCCCCAGGCGGGGGTCAGGCCCGGACCGGCGGCGCCAGACGGTGCTGCAAGCGCGGCGTTGCCCCGGCAACCACGGCTGGGCGGGAAAGGGGAAAGGCGGGAAAGGCGGGAAAGGCGGGATCGGCCCGGCCCCACAGCCGGACCCACAGCCGGACCCACAGCCGGCCCCACAGCCGGCCCCACAGTCAACCTCACAGCCGAACCCATAGTTAACCTCAGAGCCGGCCCGGACCCACAGCCGGACCCACAGCCGAACCCACAGCCGGACCCACAGCCGGACCCACAGCTGGACCCACAGCCGGACCCACAGCCGAACCCACAGCCGGACCCACAGCCGGCCCCACAGCTGGACCCACAGCCGGACCCACAACCAACCTCACACCGGGACCCACAACCAACCTCACAGCCGGACCCACAGTCAACCTCACAGCCGGACCGGCCCCACAGCCGGACCCACAGCCAGACCCATAGTTAACCTCAGAGCCGGCCCGGCCCCACAGCCAGACCCACAGCCGGACCCACAGTCAACCTTACACTTGGATCGGCCCCACAGCCAATCTTACACTTGGATCGGCCCCACAGCCAATCTTACACTTGGATCGGCCCCACAGCCAATCTTACACTTGGATCGGCCCCACAGCCAGCCCCACAGCAAATCCCACACCCAGCCGAGCCCCACAGCCAACCCTACACCAGGACCGGCCCCGGACCCGGCCCCCAGGCGGAGCCGGCTGGGCGCCACAGCCAACCGCACACCCGGACCGGCCCCACAGGCAGCCCCGAGGCGGAGCCGGCCCGGCCCTACAGCCCCACGCCTGTCCCGCCGCCATAGTTGGCGCCGAGGCGGACGCGACTCAGCTGCATCCCCGGCCCTGAGGCGGCCCCGAGGCGGACCCGACCCAGCCCCATCCCCGGCCCCGAGGCGGACCCGACTCAGCTGCATCCCCGGCCCCGAGGCGGACCCGATCCAGCCCCATACGCGGCTCCGAGGCGGACCCGACCCAGCCGCATACCCGGCCCCGGAGCACACCTTGCCCGGCCCCGCCATGGAGCTTGAGGAGGATTTGGGTGAGGCTTGAGGTTGGGGCAGGGAGGAAGGGGGACAGCGCTCGTTGTTCTGTGGGCAGGGCTCGGACCGGACCCGCGCCATTGGGGTGTGTCCCCTCTCGGAGCGGGTTGTTACCCCTCAGGGCTGGGCCCTGACCCCTCTGGGCCCGGGTCCGGCCAAGTGCGCAGTGCCCGAGCCACGCGGGCCCCCGCGGGCCTTCTGGCGGCCATTCCAGCCCAGGTCGCCACGCTGGTGCAGCTGGTGCGGGTGGGGTCCGGCCTGCAGGATTTGCCCGATTAAAGCTACTTTGTTTGGTTTGAGCGAGGCTCCCACCCGTGTCTCCCGGCTCAGCCGCTCCAGGCTGTTTTGAGATCCGTATCCCTGCAGWGTGGACAGGGACAGGTAAAAGGATCTCGTAGCACGTGGCTAGGAGACAGCGATAATTTGTGGTGCCTTTGGTGGTTTCARCCGTGTATAAATTGCAGCTGCTCGGCTGCCTGACCTGCTCCTGTGCTCTTGGTGTTTGGTGCTGGACGTGCTATGCTGAGGGCTCTGCTCCTCTTACAGTGCTCATCTCTGTCCCCTTCACTGGAAATGCTCTTGGTCTTGTGTTCTGGGGAGCTAATTCAGAGAGAAGCTATTGGAAAAATCTACCAGTGTTTTGTCATGTGAATTCCTTAAACAGACAGTGCTTAATCCTGCATTTACATATATCAGGCATTAATGTGCACAAGTGGGTATCTTAACTGTGAGGATAAAGGTTGTGTGCCTGATAAAAGTTGTATCTTTGCAGACCATGTAGTTAGAACGAATTCAAGAAGAAACCCTCCTTAGAAGGTGGGTGTGTGTTTGGAGGRGCAGTCCCCAGGTACCAAAATAAAGTAATGCTTCTTTCTAATACTTAAAATTACAGTGTTTGAGAGTTTTATTTTTCACAACGTTTTTGGTGACAAAACCTCTTACGATTGCTCTTCCAGGGGCAGCTGGGCCAGTGGGTTTTCAGCTGYTCCAATAACCTGAAAGGGCTGATGCGGGTGACAGGTGCTCAGTCTGGATAGAAATGAGGATTTTGCCTGTCCTTTCCGAGTGGCTCTCAGTATGAATTCTGCTCGTTGGGACTTCTGGAACAGCATTTTAACAACTGTCAGCCTGGGGGCTGATGGAGCCGTGTGTGTGAGAGGCCAGAGGCAGCAGCAGCCCTTGCCTAGAGCTGGTTTAGCTSCTGTGTAATCAAATCCTAAATGTGCTGAAAGCCTGGGCAACAAGAGTGGCTGGGCAGAAAGGATGGGAGCAGCCCAGGCTCCTTGGTGTGTRCCCCACAGACAGACCCACAGGCTGTAGTGGAGCCTCCTGTCTCCTCTTGGCTGCCTCCCTTCTGCACTGAAAATATGCATATTCATTAATATTTATATTTTATATATTTTAGAGACAGAAAATTATAGATGCATGGATTCTTACTGCTTCACTGTTCAGCMTGTTTGTTCTTCAGTGTTTTTGCTGGCTTAGTAACGCCTCAGCTCCTAAATAATTACATGATTAAAAGCTTCATTCAAAGTCTAATGTCAGGCACAAAGTCAGCATGGTCAGGCACATTGCCACCTCCAGAATGGARCTCAGTTCCCTCACATTCTGCCTCCAGCAAAACAAACTGTTGATGGAAAAAAAGATTTGGTTCAGCTGCTGAAGGCACTGGTGTGTATGACGTGATCCCACTGATCCTGCTCCAGGAGAGCTGGAAAGTGCTGYTGGCTTTCCCTTGGAGTAAGGGTGGTTGCCTCCCTAATAAGCTAACCTAAAGAGTTATTATGCTCAGTGGTACTGACTCTTCTCTTTTTTAACTAATGTCCCAGTTATGAGAACCTCAAGTTTAATTAATTTGGTTATGCAAAGCAGGTACACACCTTAATGAATGGTTTCAAACTAAGGGTAACTGGTTTAACTCCCTCAGACCACAGCCCTGATGCGGTGGTGTGGGATTTTCCCCACTGCACTGAGTGATTCTTGTCTTTCTAACCAGATGCTTTTCTCTGTTCTCCTGTTCCATCAGATGTGTTGGATCCAGAGAGGTTAATCCAGTGTCCATTGGTTAAACACCATATGATCAGAGCCCGGCGGTTTCCCTATCACCTGGTGAAGTGTAAGGAGGTGAGTTAGGCAGTCACTGAGTGACCCTGTGCATGCAAATACACCCTGTGTTCCTGCAGTCCCTGACAAATAGCCCCTTTTGGCCTTTATTTTRTATAACTTCATGATTTGTTTAGTGATAGCTGCAGGCACACATGAATTCACCTAAGACCTGTCTGGCTCTGTTGGAAGGAGCCAGACATCCTTCATTGTTTAGGGAGGAGACTCTGGTCTCTTCCAGTATCTCACAGGGAGGTCAGATCCATTTTTCCCTTTTCATCTGAAGAGATAAGTATACCTGAGAGATCTGGCATGTAATTTTGGTTTTCGTTTGTCTAGAGCAACCCTGAAATTGCAAAGAAATTGGCCACATGCCCTTTCAATGCTCGTCACCTGGTTCCTCGGGCAGACCTCAGTGACCACATCATGAAGTGCAAGGACAAAGCCTTCATGGAGCAAGATGGAGGTGAGGAAACCCCTGTGCTCCTAGGTGTCTGTGCACCCTGAGGACTCCTGTTGTAAGGATGAATCGTGGARCAGCACAAAATTAGGAGGCGATGGTTGTCAGTAGTTTTGTGTGACACAGTAGTTTTGGGGAAACTTGATCTCACTTGCTTGGCTTTATTGGGCAGTCTCTTGAGAATATGGCAGATGCTCTGGGTAGGCCTTGCATGTATTTTCTTACCAGGCTTGTTGAATAGAAAGCTKGTACTCCACAGTGTGCAGGAAGTGCCTCTGGAAGGAGGGGTGGGATGCATTAATGGCCTCAAGGATGGGCTGCTCCTCTGGCAGAGCTGATCTCCCTTTAACTCTTAAACACCACAGAGCACACAGTTTTTTATCTTCTGTAGATGTGCACAGGCAGTGACGCCTGCATCCATGTCAGCAGGTTCCCTCTTCACATCCCTGCTCAAAGTTCCAGGGAGCAGAGTCTACACTTGATCATTGATACAGGCAAACTCAAAGTTGCTGGATTTCAGATGTCCCCAAATGTTTGCATCTCTAAAGCCCAGAGATGTTTTACAGCTTGAGCCAAAGCATTTAATATATTTAAGGACTGCTGGTCACTGCGTTTTCTCTCTTCTTGAAGTGAGCCGATTCTGTGAGCCCCCACAGGAACAGCTGAATGGTGGAAGCTCATGGCAGGCACCTCCATGTGATGAAGACTGGGAAACAGGTGAGGAACTTCCCCATGTGCTGCCTTCTCCCTGGCCATGTCCTCCAGCTCCCCTTGGGACAGTGTGAGGCCAGGAGTGCTGTTCACTCAGGGCTGCSTTGTAGGACACTTTGCTTATGCTTGTTCCTAAGAATGAGCTCATCTCATTCCATGGGCTGGGACACTTTCCACTACCCCAGGTTGCTCCAAGCCCTGTYYAGCCTGGCCTTGAACATTSCAGGGACAGGGCAGCTACAGCTGCTCTGGGAAATATGTGCCAGGGCSTCACCACCCTCACAGGGAGGARYTGCCTCCTGATAGCCCATCTAATCCTGCCCTCTGCCCTCYTAAATRGCACTAGGAAGCCATTTAAGCCACWGATCTGATGGTGGTTCCTGGAGCTTCAGAGTTCTGAGCCACAACATCTGCTTCCTTTCACAGAGGTGCTGAACGGGTCTGAGTCTACTTTTGTGTGGGGTGTGATCAACTCTGCCATGAACAGGTAGGGAATGCAAGTTTGGTTGTTTACACCATTGTTTGTCTAAAGGAATATTGCAGCCTTCTCCCAGCCTCACCTCAATGGCTGGGCAGCTGTCTTTGTTGCTGTACARCCCTGGGAGGAGAGATGCTGCTGGCTCAGTGTGATCTGCTTCCTTATATGACTGGCCTGGACAAGAGAAAGAAACTCTCAGGAGCACAGACACTGCTCCTGTGTGCCTGTGGCAGGCTGCTCTTCCTGCCCATGGCCTATGTTCAGGGACTGATGGATGTATGGACAATGTTCAGGGGAGAAAGATGCTCCACCTTGTGGTTCCTGTGAGTCCTTGAGAGGTCCCTTGTGAGCTCCTGCCTCCAGGGGCCTGGCAGATGTGCTGGAGTTGGGCCCTGTGTCAGCAGAATCCTCTCCTTGAGCCCTTTCCAAAGTGTGGTCACAGTTTGGGGCAGGGGGAGTGAGGAGCTCAGTGCCCAGCTGTGAACTGGAAGGGGCTGCCCTGGTTGGTTTCACTGATTGTGGGCTGGCTACCAAATGTGCTGGCACCACCAGAGCTGCCCAAGATGTTTTAAGATTTATCTGATGGGTTCATTCATGGTTCAATAACAGTCCTGCCCATGGCAGCTCTGAGTTCTCTGTGAGCTCTTCCCTAGGGACTGACAGTGACCCTGTCTGGTTCCACCTGCCAGACTCTAAAAACACCTTTTAGTGTTCAGAGCACCTCCAGTTCTCCTCAGCACCACCACCATGGTGGTACAGCACCATCCCCCAAGGCCCTGCTGCAGTAAAATGCATTAATGTGAGACAATGAATTTGCCAGAAGTAACCAAAGTCACTCAATTCCAGCCCCATCAATGACCAGAACAACTCCTTGCCCTCACGGATGCGGCCCCCTGAGACCCTCCCGTACACCGCGTCTGCAGGACTGTGAGTACTGAGCACGGGGCTTTGGCACTGTCAGTCCACAGCTGGGCACAGCTCCTGAAATCTCTGGCTGTAGCAGCACTTGGTGGCTCCTACTGTGTGGACAGGAGAGGGTGTATTGARCACCTGCCTCTTGAGAGCAGCTTCTGAAGGAATTTGGTGCTGGGGATCATCTTCTGTGTCCTTCCTTTGAAGCAGCCTCTCTGTTCTCTGCTTGCTCCAATCGTGTGGCCCAGATTAGGCAGAGCTGTTCTCTGGCTGTTGGCTCTGTCYCTCTAAACAGGCCCTTCCACACCATCTCCGTTATCCCCTTTCACCCCTCACCCTTCCCCTGACTTAAACCAAATTGTTTCTTTGCTCTGTGSTCTTCTCAATCTCAGGTCCAGCTAAGTCAGAGCTGGGGTGAAGCTGGGGCTGCTTAAATCAGCAGCTCTGGGGCAGAAGCTCTCAAATTCCATCTGGGGAAGGGAGGGAAGGAGCTCCCCATGGGGAAGTGTCTAATGCTGAAATCACAGACTATTATTTGCCATTACCACCAAAGCAACAGCTTAAAGATGCTTTGAGGAATGATTGTCCTGATTCCCACTGGGAGCAACTAAACCCGGTGCTCTCAGTGCGCTACAGACACAGCTCCTGCACAGACAGGGACTGTGCAATTGCCACAGCRTTGGGCTGAATATGCCATACTAAATTGAAATGTCACTTGTTGATAAGCCTGGTTGCCAAGGGGACAAGTGCTGCCTCTGCAGAGGCCACTATCCCGTGGGGGAGTGGGGGACGTTGTTGTATCCTTGTCCATCTCATGCAAAAATTCTCTCTTGTCCTTTCCAGAATTCGGAATATTAGTTCCTCCCCCTGGGACTTGGTTTTGCCCCAGCAGTAAGTGCTTCCCTGTCTTGAACAGGACAGCTCCTGCAGATGACAGACATGCTCTGGACCTGATGGCAGGACTTTCTACACTTGACTTTTGCATTTGTATAATGTGTTTCTTGCAACATTTGAATGCATGAAACTGTCCTTGGTTGCCAGATGTTTTCCCCAAATACTTGTTTTGAAAGTTACCCTCGCCTTTACTTGGTGACTTTGGTTACTGTTCTTGAAAAAATAGACTGATAAATTTACACAGACTCAGAAACATTCCCTGCCCAGCCTCAGGTACCCATGAGCAGGAAAAATATAGAAATTGGTAAGTCTCTGTTGTTTCACTTSTCAAATGGCAGGTGATGATCTGTGGGACTGTTCCGTGTGCTGCAGAGATTGGGAAACAGCAGAAGGGTTTTAAGGAGTGGGAACTGAGGGCATCATTTTAARTAGGGGAGGTAGGGTCTGATTAGATTCCTAATTAGAGAACTGATAGTGGGAAACAGAAAATTTGGGGGCTCAAAATACCCCCCAGAATCTTGTCCCTTTGCTCGATGCTTTGAAACAAGTGTGTGCACGTGAAGGAGCCCCTGGGGATCTGAGTGCTCTTGGTCAGTGCTGACTGCAAATAGGGATGCAGGAATGGGAGCAGGTGTGTCCTGCAGGAATGGCAGATTTGGGAGGATTCAGGCCTGGCACAGGCGAAACTCTTACAGTCCCATTTCAGTGGAAGTCAGGAACCACCCAGCAGTAATTTCCAGGAATTTCTACATTATGCCTTAAGCATCTTGCTGTTCTTAGGAAGCCTGGAGGGATTATGTGGAACTTCTGCTGGGCACTTGGGAGAAGTTTTGGCTGTTTGCTGGGCAGCAGCAAACTCCCTACAACTGAGGCTSGAGGAGTTGTTATTTGAGGGCCTGTTACAGCCTGGAGAGCACAAGGTCAGTTCTSAGAGTTTCTCCAGGCTGTGAAAAGGCTGATGTTAAAATCATATGGAGCTGCCTAACTTAGTTTGTTTTTGTTTTATTTTTCTGTGCATGCACTTCTTGTTTTTATGTTGTTGGAGTCTGAGTTTGTCCACTCAGGGCGTATTGGGTTTTAAACTGTGTTTGTCATTTACAGAGACTGCCTTCAGAGCCTCCTGACCTTAACTGTTTTCAGCTTCACACCTTCAGCCTTGCYTTTGTCACCTTAGGCTTTACCTTTATCTCTTGTGTGTGAGGGGCTTCCCAGGTCACACCACAACAAAGAATCTTCTGCAAGTTCCTTGCATCACACACAACTCCAAACAGGGACAGTTTCAGGAGCACACTGAAGTGCTTGTCCAGTTTCCATTACAGTTTTGCAGTTTTCTAATGCTTAAAACATGCTTGAGAGCTCTCAAGGTACCTGTTTTGTGTTGGGGAAGGGGAGGAAGGGAGTAGGAATGGTTTAAATCAGTAGAAATACAWGTTTAGGCCTGAAAATGTTCAGATCAAGCAATATATTTCTAAACATGCAAAGTACAAAATGGGATCTAATACACAACCAAATAATTAAGCCAGACATAATGTTTGTCTAGAAAGAAATTAATGCCTTCATATTTTCCTCTAAAGACKGGATTTCCACCATCTGTGTACTACCACTGGAAAATAATGCATGTTGACTGGAATGTGAAAAATTAGGATTCTTTTAAAATTCTGTCAATTTATGTCAAGGTTCTTGTTGGCAGTTTAGAATAAAAATGTTGTAAACACCCTGTGATGGCTTTTCTTTGGAGTCAGTAAGTGCTGACATGGGGAGCTTTCCTCTACACCTTAATTTAGTTTTTGTCATTTGAAATGAAAGTGGTGACAAACACCAGCTGTGATTGTTTCTGGTTTGACAGCAGTAGCTCATTTGTAGGATTTGTGGGCCAGAGCACTACACTTTCACAGGTAAATGCCATAATTTGGCTCCATTAGCCTGAGCTGCTTTAATTGGTAGTGAGTGAAAGCCTGGAAGGGCTTGGTGCTGCTCCTCACTGGGGCTCACAAGTGTCTGCACTGAGGAGGAGGAGAGCTCCAGCTGTTGCTGCTCCCAGGAGCTACATAATTACCCCAGTCCTGGATGAATCCACTAGCCTGGCCTTTCTGGAAAGRACCAGGTTGGGAAGGTTGTGGTTGTCACTTTAAGCACCCCCAGGTGCCAAGTGGGGTGGGTAGGGTTGAGGGCTCTGGCACTGCACCGTGGTAGAGGCTGGGAAACCACGACATCTTCAGCTGGTGTGGCCGAGGAAGAGACAGTTCCCTCCTCCAGCTGACATTTCCAGTCCTGGGCAGTGTTATKGGGGTTGGGTGTTGCACTAAAGGAGGTTGATTTTCACATTCCAGGGTTAACCTGAGGAAAACCCAACACACAGAGAACAGGCTTTGGTTCCCAGCCAAGTACAAACATCCTCTGGTACTTATCTACACTATCTTCCTTTTAAATTAATTTTGTCCCACCCAATCATCATCTCTTATCTCTCATTATCTCCCCCTCTATTCTGCACATATCTGACTCCCCTTTCATTGGTTTTAAGTGCTCACATATTGACTGGTTTGGTATCTTTGATTAAAAGCTTTTCCCTCTCATTTAACCCCACCCAGCAAGTAAGCATTATGGCTTAATACCCCCACCCAGGGGGAAGGGGGAAATCAGGAGAAAATAAAGTAAAACTTGTGGGTGGAGATAAGAACAGTTTATAATTGAAACAAGGTAATATATAATTAATAATAATTTTTAAAAATGGGGAAGGGGAGAGAAGGGGAGACATAAACCCAAGACAGACAAGTGCTGGCCAGTACAATTGCTCACTACTTTCTGACACCTCCCATCCTACCTCCCCCCAGTTTATATACTGGGAATGACTGTCTGTGGTATGGAAAATCCCTTTGGCCAGTTTGGGTCACCTGCACTGGCCCTGTTCTCTCCCAGCTTCTTGAGCCTCTGCTCACTGGCAGAGCCTGGGAAAGTCCTCGATGTAAACATAAACCATCTGTTTGTTACCAACATTATTCCCACACTGAATCCCAAACACAGCCCTGGACCAGCTACTGGRGAGAAAATTAACTTCATCCCAGGTGAAACCAGGACATAAAACTTTTCCTGGATTTATTTACATGCTCAGTCACACTCAAACACATTCCTGAAACTCCTGAAATCAGTCCCATTTCCAGCTGCTGCTCACAGTATCAAAGCCCCTCAGGGGCCCACCCTGGACAGGATCCAGTGCTGTCACAGGCTGGTCCACCTCTGCATCAAGTTCATACCTACAGCACTGACAAGCTTCTGCATTCTTTGCTGGAATTTTCTGATTTAATAACTGTTTTGTAGCTGTGGGGAACTGGAATTACTTCAAAAGAGAACATAAGAGCAAGAGGAAGATAACCCAACCCCTTGATCTCACAATGTAAATCCACAATCTCTATCAACAGCCACATTTTGCCCTCCAAGCTCTTCCTTCCCTTCACAACGCTTAATGAGAATCCCCTCACCTGCATCYGTGGTAGGTAGAAAGGGAGAGGAAGGGCTGGCCCCTCTCAGGGCCAAACGGGGAGTGGGCAGAGCACAGCAAGGGCCTGGATGTGCCCCCAGCTGCCCCCACTGCTGTTCCATCCCTCACCCATTTCCACCCCTCCTTCGGAGCCACCACCAGCTCTGGGGCTGTCCCAGCTTGTTACATCCCATCAGTCTGACCAGCRAGGTCCAGCACAGGCTGCTTCTTCCAACCCCAGTGCAGCAGGACCCATTTCCTACTCYAGTCCAAATGGGTGCCCTGCACAACATCCCCGTGGCTCCCCTCCCCTGCAGACCACTCCTCCAACTGCTCCTGCTTGTTTTATTTTGGCCCCAACATGTTGGTAAAAGGCAAAAAAAAACAACTTCATTTTGGTTGGAAAAAATCTTTATTCACAGAACATCACATGAATCATGTTCCACCCTTGCTCCTTTATGTATAAAATACTCATAAAAAGTTATTTTCCAGAGGCAAGTGAATTCCCMCAGAGTCCCCTCCTGAGACAGCAGCTTATCCCAGAGCTGGAACTCATGCCACAGTTCAGAAGCAGAAGTGAGGTGTTTAGTGAGGAAGGAAACATCACAGAGCAGCAGCAGCAAAGCCTCCAGGGCTCCAGCTCCAGCTTATTTCCTTTGGCAGGGATCACAATCCCACCAGGGCTCCAGCTCATTTCCCACTGCGTCCAAAGGGGAGATGTGGGGCTTGAAGGAACTGCTCGTGTCCCTGCCATGTCCCACCACAGTGGAGGCTTTCGGGGTTTCACACAAACCACCTGAGAGCACAGATGTCCTTGGAAATCTCTTTGGACTTCACAGGCACTACAAACGTGTTTGAGGTCACAYGTCACCATATCCAGTTCCTCAGGTGGTTCCTTCAAGCCCCAAATGTCACCTTTGGATGCCATGGGTAGCAAGGACACTTGGCTCACCAAGGGGAAATCAGCCTGTGCAAGGACAAGGAGACTCCAGAAGGCAAAATAAATTAACAGGAAGACATGTATTAAAATGCCAAGCTAGGCTCAGAAACAGAAAAAAAAATCCAGTTCCAAATACTTTATGGCTCCTACCATAGTCCAAAAGCAAAGAGATTGGCCAGAGTCCCACCTTGGTGTAGGACAAACCCTGCTACACCAGGTCGTAACGACAGCAGCTTTAAACAATGACAGCCTTAAATTCTAAAYCCCAACACTAAAATTAAGCGGAACTGAGATTTGCCTGAGACCCCTTACAAGTGCTCAGCTGCCCTTTCAAGGGCTGAATCCATGGATTTCATATCCAAAATAAATTTCAGGCAAATTTGGATTTATGATTTCTATTAGACACAGCAAGACAGATGCTCCATCACTGCAGACTCCCTCTTTTCCTTGTAATTCCTTACTTCCTTGGGCTCAAATGAAAACCAGGTCCATGCTTGCTCTGCTACAGTATTTCCTTGGAAAACTTGGAAAAAGTTCCTGCTAAGAGCAGGAAACACTTCAGAAGCATGGCTGGGGCCACCCCAGCTCTGCTCACCAGCACAGCCCTGTCTCATTGCCCATATTCTCTAAAAACCTGTATTTTTTTCAATTATTAAAACCCATTCTGCCAGTTTGCAACAGGTCACATAATGAAAGCAAAGCTCAATGCAGTAAGGACAGAATGTAGAACTTGTGATTAGTTACTACTCCAGAGACCCACAACCATTYCAGACAGACAGCAAGGAAGRAATTGCCAGCACAAGGCCACATCATCTGGTTATGACACTTCTGTGYCACTGTCAGACACTGGGGAATGTTCCAGATTTGTCACACATCGGGWTGGGAATGGATCTGGAGGCTGATTGAAATGGATGATGCCCAAAATCCCAGGATGCCCCCWCTATCAGCCACCCCTGAAGCTGCAGGGAAAGCAGGGCTGGACTGGTACAAGGATGTCACAGCTCCAGTTCACTGAGACAGGGAGTGACCCCAAGATGAGTCCCAGCCAGCACCACCCCCAGGAGGCAACACATCCGAGAGTCTTTCAGAGTAACTCCACAGGTGCAGAGGGGACCACAGGGAACACCCTTCCCAAGGATGGGGATGACACCATCCCAAGGCACAAACTTGAGGGAACTCCCCTGACCAGGGCTGATTTTCAGTGCCAAGCTTGTTGTGCTGATCCCACCATTCCTCTGGTGTGAAGAACCCGTTCCARCTCTGTGAACAATTCCCCACCTCTGGGGAACACAGGGAGACTCACCTGCTCCATCCACTCAGAAGCTCCAGCTCCAGAGCCCYAAATCCAATCGGCACCTCAGGAAATGAACACAGCTCCCCAAACCTTTGTGCTCCAGCATTAGAAATGTCAGTTCTGGAGGCTGGATTTGGCAGGAGGCCCAGGGAGATGCCACAGGCCTGACGTGTGTCCCAATGGAAGAGGGAAGGAGCGTGGCACTTGGCATCCCCTGGGAAGCTGCAGGGCAGAGAGAGGTACAGAACCAGAGGGACTGTGCTGGTTAATACTGTGTGTGAAGTTAACTGAGATTATAACCGTGCTCTAAGAATCTTCCCCATACATCCTCCTCCTCGTCCTCTCAATGGAACAGCAGACAGGAACCCTTCATTCCTAACTCTTTTTGTACACTCAGTCCCACAGGCTGAATTCAGGCCCATGAACACTGAAATCCTCTGTGCCATTCTTGCACTGCAAAGCACAGGGGCAGGTCAGTGTTGGCGAGCACAAGACTCGCTATATCCTACACTGTGCCTTTGCATGCTCCCATCTCTGTGCCCAAAGGGACATTCCTGCCTTGCTACAGCTGGGCACAGTGTTCACTTCTGTTTCCTATAAACCAGACTCTTAAAGCTGCAGACTTGAGGTGAGAGCAGCAAAGGCCGGGGGTTATTTGCACAGGGCCATTCTCAAGCACAGCGTCCCCACACACATCCATTTCCTGACGTGCTTTCCATATGACACTGTCCGAGTAGGATTTGTAAACTCTGAAGTCCATGGGAACATCTCATTCAAAGCAGCACCCAGAGGAAAGTCAGTCCTGGGGACAGTCCTCTTGCAGGAGTTCAGCAGCTCATGTCAGATACTGCACGACGAGGAACATGATGACACAGGTCACGGCCATCCCCCCCAGCATGAGGAACTTGTCCTGGAAGGCGCGTTTCTCGATCAGCCGCATCACCGTGTTGGACAGGCCCAGCATGTTGGCAACGTCCAGGATCTTCTTGTGAGTGCCCTGAGGACAACAACACAGCAAAGACACAATTACCTTCATGTCCTAAACTTTCTTATTCCACAGTCCAAGAGTATTTCATCATGGGTGGTGAGCRATGGATTCTAATCCATGGAACTTCTCTCATCCCTACCATTCCACAGAAGGTGACMACAGGACCCTGGAAACAGCTGGATGTTTGGACTAATTAATTCATACACATGAACAAGAATGTGGTTAAAGACACAAAACAATCTGTCTGGACACAGACAAGATAAAAAGTGCCTCAGAAAAATGTACTCCCTAGGGAGGAGTAAGAGTTTTCCTGGTCCTGTTCCAGTCACAGTCTAAAGAGCTTCAACCTCTGACCAGCCAAGGTTTTGTGCAGAGCTCYCCTCATTGAGTACAGATCATACCAACAGAGACAGAGAAGGTCCAGATGCTGAAAGGTTAATGGCACTAAAAAAGGCAGAAAATGTGTAATTAATGCCATTTCCTGAAATCCTTCCACAGAAAAGCACAGGTAGGATACTTGGTATTATTAGGAACATGAACCCTACCGTTACATCAGCAGCAGGAACACAACAGGAACCTTCCTGCTTTATTTCAGGGCAGTAGTTCAAAGAAACAGGACAAAATACAGGCACAGAGACGTAATCTAGGCACAGGTTAGGGTGGGATATTGTCCTGGGTGGGATATTGTCCTGGGTGGAGAGAAGGGAGAAGACTCAGGGCTGCAGAGTCCCGATGGCAAAGTCCTGGACCTTTCCAGGAAAGCTGGACACAGTGACTGTTCTCAGCAACAAAGTCTGTCAGTATAAGAAAAGCTGAGTAAGGGGAAAAAGAACATGAACAGACATCTCCTGATTGTGAGGGAGAAGCAACATTCGCCTGAACACCCAGGAACATGAGGGCCCCAAAAGCACAGCCTGTGTGTATCAGCAGCCATGGACAGACTCCCAGCAATTCCCTCCTGTAGGAGGCCTGGAGCTCATGAGCCTGGCACAGGCTGGAGGGGAGCCAGGAGGCCCAGGGAGAGCCAGCAGGAACCAGGCAGGCACTGCCAGCAAGAGCAGCCACACAGGACTGGTGCTGCTACAAGAACCAGAATTTCCTCATCTCTGCAGGGCACCAGCTCCTGCCATGGCTCCCACATGGCACTGGCCAGCTGTGGTTGAGCTCTCCTGACCTGTGATGGGATGCACCTCCTTCTCAGGGACTCATCCAGTCCCTCAACAGAGATTACCTTGAATCAGTGACTTCCCAGCTTGGAGAACCAACTGCCAAGGTGCTGCACACAGGGACACCGGATGTCCCAGTCCAATGTGATCAGCCACCAAAGCAACCCAGTGCCCAACAGAGTGGACAAATGTTTATGATCCTGTCAGGGGTGCAGGAACCTCAAGGAAGGGGCTCTTTCCAAGAAGCATTCACAGCTCCCAGTCTTCTCCCAACACCAGTAATGAGTCCTTCCAGCCTTTTTGTCATGAGCTGGCAGCAGAACCCCTCCCTGACCAGACTCCTCAGCAACATCATTCCTCTGCAATGAACACTGAACCACCCACTGAGTTTTCTTCAAAGTTTTTCTAGTGATGGACCTTGTCTAAAAACATAGACCAAGTTCATATTCACCACGTCAGTAAATCAAGAAGCTAAACCTCATACTGAACTCAGCTTTAAACTCTGCTTTAATGTCTCTATGTAATATCTGGGTGTGCAGGGACTGGTCACCAGATTAGGRAGCAGAAAAGGAGCTACAGCCATGCTTTGGCCCCTGTGCTGGTCCTGGCAGGGCTCAGGGAACACCAGGCACCCTGGAACCCTGGGGTCAGGGCAGCCAAGTGTCCGTGCACACCCAGCTCAGCTCCCCATGTGCCAGCTGCAGTGCAGACCAGGCTTGCACTGCCTGCCACACCATGGAGCTGCAGGTGTGACAAACCTGACCAAATTGGGGATTTCTGTCAATAAAAATGCCTAAATTTGGCAAATACATGCCAAAAAAAGGCATGTCACAAAACTGACAACAGTGGTTRTCCCCCTCAGAAGATGAATACATCAGACACAGGGATTTCCCTATATTTTTCAGAAATCCAGTTTCTCCCCCCAAACTTCTTATTAAAGTTTTTTTGTATCCTTGAGCTTTTCACTCAAAATTTAACATCACTTTGAGCAGTCTGTAAAATAAAAGACAARTATTTGCTATGAAGAGACATGCAGAAATGCAGCTGTTATCAGCAGGGAAGGAGGGACTGTTGAGATGCATTATCTTTATTACTGATCTTGACCACAAACGCTCTACAGCAGCTTTGTGGCTTCTCTGAGTGATGTTCATCTGAACCAACATCTCCCTGCCAGCCAGTTCCAGCCCTCCTGGACTTGAACAAAAAACCAACAATCACCCAAGGAAAAACAAACATAATGGAATRAAACATAACATTCAGCACTCCAGATGCTGCCCTGCAGGTGAGGGCCAGCCAGCCCCCAAGAGATTTTCAAGATATTACCAACAGGATGATAAAATGTAAAGATTTCAGGTTGTTTAAATGAAGTTTGGGCCTTTCCAGCATCCTCAACTCAGAGCAATGTAATAAAACAACACATACATTGATTTTACTTAGCCTGATCAGCATGAACACAGAAAAAYGTGGGGTCTTTCTGGTAAAAAATGATGCCCCCACCTTTAACGTGACTCTCTGGTCCCTCAGGCCCTGCAGGATGTTGGTGCCACTGCCAATAAGCTCATCCATGCCTCGGTGGGCATTCTGCAGGGATTCATTAAACTGCAAGGTTTCGTCGATCGGGATGGTGGTGTCAGAGTCCTGTGGGGAAAGCAGGGACGYGGTTACCTGCTCGCTCAGAAACACAACATGCACCAGCAGACACTGCAAAAACCCGACAGGACTTGGAGGACTGTGCTTAAACAATTTTGTTCATAAAAATTTAAATTAAAACATTGATATTTGAGTGAAAAGAGTCATTTAGAGAAGACAGGGAGGAAGTCAAAAAGCAAAGCTGAGCAGCTGCTCAACTGCARTGAGATCTCAAGGATGAAAAGAGCAAAATCAGAGAATTTTTATAATCTCAGTATAGGAAAAGGTTCTGCAAGAGAGAACATCAAAGCTAACAGAAAGTGTTTAACAAGGTGTTAAACACCAAGAAGGTGCTTAGGCATCAACCACTGCAAGGGAAAGACTTGTGAAAGATTTCACACTACATTTCTGAGCGACAAAAGGCCTGAAAAACAAAATGTTTGGAGATGACACTCTAAATATTTACAACATGGTRCAAATTTCTGGCAGTGAGGGCAAATAGACATGGGCCTGGATTGCTGAAGTCTGGCTCACTCATCACCCATGGTCTTATTGAAAATAATGTAAAAATAATTAAAAATTAGTATTTCTCATCCTTTTGCAGAAAAGATGCATTCACTCAACTAGCAACTAGGAATCTTGAAATGGAAATAACAGGGTGAAACTCTAATCTGGACTGCACAAGAAGGMAGGGATGTGGTCACTTTGAGTCTGTCAAGGCCCCCAGGTCAGTGTTCTCTGGACACCACTCCATGCAGAGGGCAAGGAAATGGCTCACTGCTCCCACACTGTTTTAGAGCAGGATACTGTAAGAGGGAAGTGTTGGGAATGCTGATCACCTGCTCCAGCACTCARAACAAGAACCACCCAAAGGCAGAATTCACAGAGATGGTGAAYGCCCTCCATGCACCCAGCAGCTGCAGGTGACACACAAATGCWGCACAACGTGCTCTGAACAGACTCTTTCGTAAAAAACCCAAATGTTAATATGAAAATGCCATGTAGGACCCAGGATTTGATGTTGCCCTGCCTGGGCAGGGGTTCTGCTCACTGTGGAAGAAGGAAGATTTAAGGGCAGGGCTCTCAGAGGCCCCAGATGAAAGGGCTGTGACAGAACACACAACCCTGGCCCACTGCAAACACAGCATCAAGGCTCACACGAGGCCCTGTGCAGAAGCACTTGGATTTCCATGGGAATGGCTCTTATTCCAGGTATTTAATAACCTCTGAATCAGCAGATTTCATTTCTGTACAAGGTTTTTTTATCCACTATAAGACAGCAATAAAAATAGAGAAGTAGATTTGTGACCCCCCCTTCCCAAATAGATGAGATGGCACCAGAGCTCTGGTTTGCTGCCTGTGGTTTTCCCCAAGTACAGGGGAATGCTTTAAAGATAAAGACCATTTCAAACTTTGAATTAAGCAAACTGTTCAGAACACTGCTACAGCTTCCAAAAGCTGTTCTGATGTTCCAGTGATTCACTCACACACTCAACTGACATCTGTAATAGAACTGGGGTGTATATGAATCGGAACTGTGCAAACCTYTAACCAAAAGAGGCTGGTAACTGACAAATAAATCATCATTGTCCTACTAAAGGGTTACTCTAAAGTCACTTTTTTGTAGCAAGTTAAAAAGAAATACAAAATAATCATGGGTTTTTTTTCATCTGAGATCCCTTTTWATATCTGAAGAAGATAACCATTTGCTCTATATTTTGCATCTGTAAGCCTGCTGCTGCTCTTTAAAATTGTTTCACTTTTATTTCTTTTCTGCCTTTTATTTTTGAACAGTAAATTTTCCCATAGGAAAACTTGTCCCTACTTGCAAAGAAACACCACAGTGTTTAAAAATAACAAATTGCAGTGTTTCTTTCTGGTCTTTCAAGTCTTGTTTAAGATTTTGAATCAGCCAACACAATATCAGACATTATCTTTATGGCAAGCTTTGAGAAATGCATCAAACTGCCCAGATCGCAAGTAATTAGGATTTCCACATTCATTCCTCCTTGCCCCAACAGTGACTCACAACACAGATAATGAATGTTAGGTGAGATGCCTTTAACAAAGGAGTGGGGAAAAAAGGAGAATTTAAAAAAAAATGTATTAAATTTTAAAAATCCCAAACAAACACCTCCCCCACCAACTAACTTGTCAGGTGCAGAAAAGTGAAAACTGAAAGTAMGTCTACATTATCCAGAGCCAAATTCCTCCAGCAATTTGCACTGGGGGATCTTACCAGTGCGGAAGGAATGGAGAAACTAAGAATTAACAAGAACAGGTAGAACATATTCAAGTTATTACAAACTTTTGAGACAATTCTAGGCAAAAGGCAAGGGCTTTGTCCCAGCTGTGTGATTTGTATCTGGCCACACTGAAGTTTGCTGACCCCTGCTGCCACTGAGGTGTGTAAAGTCAGGCTTTTCACAGCTCTCAGGATCTGGCAGAGTTTGGACACAAATCCAAGTTAAATGTACACTTTGGTACCTACCTCACTCACCCTTTTACAACTGCTGTGTAAATCCAGGTGGAACTGCACTGGAGAAAAGAGGAGCAGCAGCTTTGGGMGCTTTTCCTACTGCCTTAAGAGCCCAGTGTTTCCTCAGGAGAGCTGGACTTTATCCCCACATATTTTGACTTTTTCCACCTTTACCCACTATCACAGCAGCTTCCAGTCCTATTTACATCCTGCCTGCCACCCCCATGGGATTTGAGCTCCTGGAGCACAGAGAGCCCCAGCACAGGTATTTACGTTGGTGGTGAAGGTGCGGGCCAGCAGCTCCTCCCGCTGTCGCTCCTGCTGCTCCCGCTGGTAGCGGCGGTGCTGGAAGTTCCTCAGGGCTGACTGCAGGTGCTGCACGTCGTATTTCAGCTGGTCAACTCGCCTGCAAAGCACCAACAACATAAAAATACTCTTCTGGTGGCTTTTTCAAATGAGCAATGGAGCTTTACAAATTAACAGTGATAAGTAACTCGGAATGATGGGTTCTACTTCTCCAAAAGATGCAGGACATTCAGTATCAGGCCAAAATTCTGCGCTTACATCTTCCTTGTCTCGTTTTTCTACTAAACAGGTGACTATATCACCTGATTATTTATTTTAATCATCATTTAGCCTCCAGGATAATGACAGAATGTGAAGTACAACTCCTGAGCTGTTTTGGACATTCTATCCCATGGAATGTCTCCTCAAGAGTTATAATTGTACCTGTTCCTCATTTGTTCCAACAGAGATTTGGAAAGATGGTAGGATTTGTACAGGTTCTATTTTATGTCCCCGCTTCACATAAAAGATGAAGCTTTCCAGTTTATTTAATTAGCACCATTTAATTTGAGGGTTTATTGAAAGSAGCTTAAAAGTCAGTGGGTAATATWGGAGAAATCTCAGATATCTCCACTGGGCTSTAACAAATCATGTCCACTGGCCCTGATTACATGCCCGATAATGTTTAATTGATTACCAGATTACCAGACTATCCTKTTTAGTGGAAGRTGTCCCTGCCCATGACAGGGTTGGAACTGATCTTTAAGGCCTCTTCCAACCCAAACCATTCCAGGATTCTAYAAAGGAATCGATRAGTATTTCAGAYACTGACCTCTTYCTTTAATACAGCTGATATGAAATCCATCCCTACTATCTACAAGGGCATTTTGGAATAAACATTAATAACTCAATAACAGAATTAATTAATTAAGAACAGCAAGTCCTGATGGCTGTGGTCCAACCTCCTGCTCAAACCATTGCTCACTTTAGAAACCTCTTTATTTCAGTCACCAAAAGCTTGGAAAAAGGCCCAGAGAAAATGACACCAATTGCAGGAATTTTACTTTCTACCTCCATAAAAGCTTTAAAAGCAAGTGACACAGAGAGCATCCAAGAGCATGTCCTGCTCATCTGAGAACAGAGCCATGATTCCAGCTGTACCATCCAACCCGGACTTGATGATCTTTGAGGCCTTTTCCAATGTTCATGACTCTCAAGATCTGGTGGTTAAACGCAGGAAAGCGATTTTGCCTCTGTGCCTCAATTTTGCWACTGTACAGCCCAGAGATCAGTCATGCAAAGTATAAAGGTTTCACACCAATCAAAAGGCTTCAATAAATTTAATTAAAATAATTACAAAGACTAGCCTGCACAATCACAGGAAAGCAGTGAACTCACAGTTTGGCATTCTGCCGCTTGTTGGGAGGTTCTTTGCTGGACAGGATTTCCAGGCGTTCCAAGTTGCTGAATATGTTGTCTATTCTTGCCTGGATCTCATTTTCTACCACTGCAAGCAAATAAACACAAGATTTGATTTGAACTAAAKAACTGAAGCCTTGAATTAAAGAACTTTTACTCTGAAGGTAAAAGATCAAAAGTATTCAAAGCAMTATGTAAAAACTGACAGATGCAAATCCTTACTGGATGAAAATAATCAGGTAACTGAGAACTATAAATATCATGAAATGTCAYTTCTTTAGCTCAGTAATTTGACTCTCTCACCTATCTCTCCTCCTCTGAGAAGGAAGCTGGGAAAGCTACACACTTTTCTGAGAAAGAAAGGACTATTTGCTCAACACTGGAAAAAGCAGCAGACTGTAAATTTGACTTCCTGACCCTATTCCTGCTCTTCTTTTTTTCCATAAAGTCTGAAATACACATGAATATCTAGAGCACCATCTGTATCATTATATAGAGAGAAACACATACATATATTTATTCATTTATTAACYATATAAATTGGTGAACTGACTGTAAGCTATGTAAGCTACATARTCCCATCTCTTGAAATGGTCTCAAGGAACAGAAGCAAAGTGGAAAATTATATTTTCAGGATTTTCAAAATCACCCCCAGTGCACAGCAGTCTAGGAAGTCTGGCGTTGTGGGAGGAGTAGTACAACACCAAAAAAAAAAAAACCACAACCAGAATTAGTTGAGTTGCTGGGTTTTTTTGATAGGAAAGTTATCACAGCCCTTTTCCACAGTCCAGTCATGCTTCACAAATGTGTTTAAGGTAAGAGAAGTCAGTGAACACGTGCTGAAATGCATCCAGTCAATGCAGTGTTCTTTCACCTCAGAAGTTCCTGATGAAACTCATTATTAGTGACTCATGCAGGAATTAAGGGTTCAAACACAGGTCCAAAATACATCTGCCAATCCTGCACTGGGGTAAAAAGTCCTGCCACGCATATCAGAGCATCTTATTATTACAGTAATTTATGAACACAGGGTTATAGTCCAAATTTACTCCTGAGTCGCTGTGATCAGCTGCTGAGACACATCACCATTCAAAATGTACTATAATCATTTTACTGTTTAACTTCAATAAGGTGATGTTTTGTATGAGGACAGAGCAGAAGAGACAGGACAAGAATTTACTTCATCTTACGTTTATAATCATTTAAATTTGTTCCAATAATGATTGCAAATATAAGAAGAAGACACACAAGGTTAAAGATGCAAATTAAATCTACCTCCCTCACTCACTCATTACTTACAGTGCACAGATTCTTTGTCTGAAGTCTCCAGGCGCCCCATGTAAGATTGGAYCTCATGGACCTGCCTGTCAAGAGATAAAGAGTAAATTAACAGAGAAGTCAATTAACAGCTAAAAAATAATTTCTCACTACCTCACTTTTCAGCTTCTTTTACTGAAATGCACTTTCTATAACAAACAGGAATCAGCAACACAGTGCAAACAGCCCATCCCTGACCACCAACACCTACCCAGTTCCTCAGCAGGAAGCAAAATGTGCTCTCACTTAAGAAGCATCTACAAAGTAACTTTAYTTAAAAACAGAAATCAAAGTGAAGATTAAGGAAAGCACAGAACTGCTGTTCTACAAGAAACAGCTGTTTAGCCTGGTCTGGASATGACAGTGGGGAGATACCCATGAGGAGAAAGTGAATAAGGAATGATTTTCACTGTCGCACAACATCTGAATTCAGAGGCACAAAATTAAATTAAAAGCTTGTAATTACAACAAACAATTACAGTGGCAAAGGAAAAAAAGAAAAAAAAATAATGATGGTTGTTAAATTCTTCTGGAACTGGATGGGCTTTAAGGTCCCTTCCAACCTGAACCATTTGATGATCACAAAATAAGGCAAACAGGACAAGATCATTCCCCATATCCATAACTGCTGTTATGTTCCTGCATTTCCAGGTAAAGCAGGATGGTCCTGCTCTTCCCTACAGGGTCACTCTGTATTATYATTCAGTGATACAGGAACGATGATACAATACAAAATTCAATTCAATTCAAGCCTCTTACCACCACACCTCCCTTAACAGAGTTCCACAAAGAAGCAAATTGCCATGGAAGTTTGGAATATTGGATTAACTGTGTCCTTYGGCCCCTTTTCCCTGAGTTATTCCGTATGGAATAATAAAAGAACCACGAGATTTTCTTGCTTTATTTTGCAATTCCCACACCACTCCTCCCTCTCTAAACTGGCATTATCTATGAAATGTGGGAAAGGAGCCACATGCCTCCAGAGGTGGCAGCCTGACCGCTCAAACCCTGCTCCAAAAATCCTTATAAACGGGCATGCTTTAAATAAATCTACATCAATAAACAACARCCACCGTTCCCGATGCCCCGGGCCGGCCGAGCCCGCGGGGCTGACGTGGCACCCGGGGCTGAGGCTCTGCTCCGGGATGGGGTTTTATGGGGGAAACGCTTTAAAAGGGCGCTGAGAGCTTGGCGGGGGATCGGCCCTGGGCTCCCGCACACCGCGATCCCTCATACACTCGGTTTGTGGGTAAATCCCTCACATACTCGGTTTGCGGGTACAGCCCCTCACACCCCTATCCCTCGCACACTCGGTTTGCGGGTCGAATCCCTCACACCCCAATCCCTCAAGCATTTGTTGATTTAGTGGTACAGGCCCTCATACCTCTCAATCCCTCACGCACTTGGTTTACGGGTCC